TATGTGATAAGATCATTGTCTGAAGCCCTATCCAGTGGTCCTCCATTAAGGTCTCTAAGAGATAAAGTGGCAACCTGGCTCTGGCCCTCTGTCCTGAGGCATGTATGGCTGGCCCCCTACTCCTGTTTTAAAAGCCTTTAAATTGTGCCTTTGGAAGACTAGTCTTGAGAGGCAATTAGAAATTCTAACAAGGACATACTCCTTTTCAGTGAGACAGTTGTAATAAATGTGGGGGGGGCACCTAAAATTCCAGGGAACTGGTGCAAACTCCATCTGTGAGTCTCTGTCCTTTGCTGGGTTCCTCCTGCCTCCAAGTGCAGTCCCATTCCTATTGCTAAGGGTCAATCCTAGCTGTGCCAAGAGTTAAGACCCTTCATTTTATTCTTTATGTTATATTATTTAAGCTATGCCTGCATTGCTTGGCATCCCAGGATTTCCAAGTGATTTACATTTTAAAAGCATGCAATACAATATAAAAGCACTATAAAACAGTGTAAAACAATAAATAACTTGAAATATTACAACAAAAGCAGTGGAACTAAGCATGTTTTATCACTGTGCACTGGACTTTTTTTAATGTACGGTGAAGGAAAGTTTGCATGTATTTCCACCTGAAAAGAGAACCCTTTGCTCCTGTCCAAATCCTTTTTGGCATACTATTGAAAAAGGATTTGATTGGTATTTCTTATAATTTTATAAGACCTTTGGTGAGGCTCTTAGCTTCTGACACTCTAATTTCTAGAGTGCAAAGTTTCAGAAGTAGTTTTCTTACCCTATAACATCACCATGTTTTTGTAATCCAAAATAGCTTGGTAACTATAGTTGTGGTGCGGATAACTCCATTCAATTACCGAGCATAAGCAGGTAAAACCTGAAAGGGAAGCAGTTTTTCTCACAGACATGAAATGACACATACAGGCCTTTTAAAAAGACCAGAGTGATGGTGATGCAGCATATGTAATCCAACAATTTTAGCTCATTTTCAAAGTGATTTTTGTTTGGGAAAGTTAGCCTTCTGCATTCCCTGCACCCTTTGTCTTTCCGTTGCCTGTCAAATAAGAAGCTTATTTGACAGGAACACTGACCTTAAGTGTGTAGAAAGCATAGCTTGCAATGTCCTCTAGGTAAGCACCTGCATCTTTTGTTTGTTACTCTTACTGTGATCGCACTATGTAGTACTAATAATGGGCAATATCCAAGGCCGCTCTTGTACTTCCCCGGATTCTTCTGTGTCATTGGAGTTCACCACCTGCACAACTGGAAGCTAGCACCATTGAGAGCAACTTCAGAAATGAGCTGAAAGTCCCATTTCTGAAACACAACAGAGCGGTGCAGTTTTTGTCTGCTATATCCCCATACCTGTTCTATTCTGGAAACAAGTTTTGTTTTAGGAAGTGTTTCCTTGCTGTGTTGGAGGTTGGCCCCATTGGTACACAAGACAGCATTGGATACTGCAGAATAATTTGTATTATAATACATGACACCATGTTGCAAATCACAAATACTTTTTTACACACACGTGCGCGCGTGCACACACACACACACCCCTTGCATAATTCTAATAGAAGTGAACTAACATCTGTGTATTTCATCAACACACAAGATTCCATCTTTTATTTGAATGATTTTATCTCCTGTCCAATGAAATTAATTCCTGCACAGTTTTAACAGTGTACTAAGATTCTCTAGGGATCTGTTCAATGAAAGGGTTGCTAAGCAGTTTTGTACATATCCCTAAAATGTACAGGGCATGTTACAATGGAACGAAACAAATCTAAAAAAGATGCAGAAGGAAGCTAGCGTGAAAGTTTTCAGAGACTCTTGGTTAATCATTAGAAAGTAGAGCTAAGCATAACCCGTCTGTCCTTACTACTTTGCTTTTCCATTCTGACTTTTACAGAAAATGAGAACTTGTGTGATGTTCAGCATTGATAAGAAAGTATCAATTTGTGTTAATATTTCACCACATTGAACCAAGTCCATTTTGTGGCAATCACTAATTCTTCAATTCCTGTGGCCACATGTTCAAAACCTTAACATGTTCCTTAAATGTGGCATAATGATATGATTTAATGCTTTAGAACTACTTAACCTATGCATGTTTTCTCTGATGTTTTTAATTCCTGCAATTCAGTTCAAATTTATCTAGGCAAACTAGTCTGTTTTTGCTTGCACAGTAAAAGAAATATGAAGTGAGGAGTGAAGTTGTTTTCAAGAATACTTAGAAGCACAGTGAAGCACCAATTCTCTATATTAGACATGAAAGTGAAATTTATGCCAGTAGCAGCTTGCATTAATACATATGTGCTAGCTGGCTGCCATTTTTTGGTCTGGGAAGGCATTTCTTCTCAGGACAGATTGATCTGTAATCCTGGCAGGGGTGCTGTGGTGTCCTTTTTACTTTCCCTTGAAGTGTTTGGGTTGACTTTCTTGCCTTGACATCTGTGCAAGTACTACCTTTGTTTTGTGGCCCACTGTGATCTGATTTAATTGGGGGAGGGATAGATAGGTGAATGATGCTGTTTATTGTAAGCATATTTGCCTTGGAACCATCACAAAGTGTATTCTGTAGAACACTGAAATTTAAAAAATGCTATGCTTGGTTCTTCCAGAAATTAAATTCTGCTATTTAGGATGCAGTTTCCTTTAAGTATAAAGAAGTTGCATGACTTCTTTCTTACATTTTTGAGGACATGCCCAAAGTTGTGCATGGACTTAAAGAATGGGTTTTGTTTCTGAAGCTCTTGTCCAGTTGTGTATTCATTAATAGGCCAATAGTAGTGATGGAAGGCCTGTGTGACAATTTGCATTGTGGCCTTAGATTGAAATACAAGGTGACATGATTCAGTAGTTGATACATGAGTCAAAGCTAAATAACATTGAAATATCAGGAAATCTGTTCATGGCAATAAAATAATTTTATTTTTTCCCTTTTCACCCTATGGCCAACACCCCCCCCCCCCCCCGGGGCTGATCTGGGGCATCATGGGATGCTTTGGAACAGCTTAAAACATGGTTCAGGGGGCAGAAGTAGAAGGCAGGTATTAGTAAACATCAGTATTCAGGCCATTTATTGGGCAGTCTCTGATGGATCTTGGTCCCTCCTGCAAAGAAAAGGAGCTCTTCTGTTGGTTGAAGGTCACATCTAGATGCTATCTACTATGTACATCTAACACATACCAACTATTGATATAAATCTTTATATGGAGTCAGCTCATTGATTCTGCTTGAAAGTGGTTCTCTAAGGCTTTAGGCAGAATTCAGGCATTTAGTGCGTTCATGCTGAGAATTACAGCCATGTCATCTTTGGGATTAATCCCAGAGAACTTTTGGTCTAGTTTGTTGACAGTACAGCTTTAGACTTGTGCTTCTCAAACGACAATCCTTGCCTTTGCAGTACATCAAACTGATTTTGAGTTTCAAGGAGCATTTGGAAGCAGCTTATGATAGACTGATCAGCATTTTGCAAAGCAAACATTGCATTGGACATGTTGCTGTCCTTTCAACGCAGCATAAAGTAGTTTGTATTACAGTTTTACTAAGGCCTAACTTTTAGATATTCCTTCATTGTAGAGGTATAGTAAACCCTAAATATAGTGTGAGTGAATGTAGCTTAGCAGCTTACTTGCTGCTTACAATTAAATAATTTTTGTCTTTAGGTTAATTGGGAAGCTGATGAACCATTTAAACACTTTAAAGCAGCCTTGCCCAAGCTGGTGGTCTTCGGAGACATTAGGACTGCAACACTCAGAATTTCCATCCAGCAGGGCCATTGACTGGGAATTCTGGGATCCTAACATGTCTGGAACGTACAAGGTTGGAGAAGGCTGCTTTAAAGTGTTTTGGTTTGATGATCTTGGATGATCACAGATCCTTAACCTGCCTCTTTTTAATGTGGCAATAGATGGTCTAGAATGTCAATAACCATCTTTTGTAGATATTGAATAGTAAGAGGAATGTAACTTAGTATGACTTATATTGGTTGGTTAAGTATTATTACCAATGTTGTTACATTGTTTGCCCATTTACAATTGATAGGGAGTCTGTACAACATAGGTCGTTAAATTATTTCTTGTCCTCATTGTCACTTGTTGACAAACCGCTATTTTCTAATGGAATACTTCCTCAAACAAAGAGGAATCCAGCATAGATAGTTCACAGGTGTCATTTTTAGCACCTTTCTTCCCATATTAACAGAGAGCCTTTGTCATAGGCTGATCATAAATGCTTACAGTATTCATTCTGCTTTCATTCATAGTGAAATATGAGATTTGGAGTGTATCATTAGAAACAGTTGCATATAAATAAGCGGATTTAATGCTGAGTTGATACATATTGCATTAAGAGTTTTTTTTATTAGAAACATAAATTAGTAGAAAGAAAGTTATACATGAAAATACTCAGTCAAATCTCTAACTTATATATGAGTACCAGGCCTGCTTTTTTTGGGTGGCTTTGTATATAAAACTAATTGGCATTCAAGGGGCATTTGGGGCTCCACTTAGCAATGCATAGTTCCCACTTATTTCCTTTCTGAGTTTACTAATAGTGAAAAGGTTAGACCAGGGAGGGGCTACTAGATCATTTGGAATACAGTCCACTAAGAACTACTACTTGGCAATCTGTATTTTGCAGCAATCTCCACTGGACTGCATGTAGACCAAGATGGTTGCAGCTGGGTCCACTTGAAATTAATGTGAATGGCTGGTCATGATTTACTGAAGTTCCATTGATCTCAACAGGATTTATGTATGACTAACTTAATCTAGATCCAATCTAAAATGTAGTTCAGAATTTGTAGGTTATGTATGCAGTAATAGTACTTAGTGGATTGAGCCACTGATGATCTTGTCAAGCAGTTAAGTGTGGGATTTGATGTTGTTGGTTGTTGACCATTGGTTAATTACATATCCATTTTAACATACTAATAAGTTACCTGCATTCAGTAACTTGTGGCATCTAACTGCTTCTTCTCTTCCTTCCTTTTTGTCATCCTGCAGTGTTCTGTGCCAAGGTCTTTGTGGCTAGGCTGCTCCAACCTGGTAGAGAGCATGTGCGCACTGAGATGCCTGCAGAGCATGCCCAGTGTCAGATGTCTCCAGGTGCCTTTCTTCTTTCTTGTTGTAAATGTGTTATGCGTATGCTGTGGTCATTGTTAAAATCTCTGGATTCAAATGAAACTGTATAGTCTCCTAAATGTTTTCTGTATGATCCTCATTAGAGTGTGTAAGAGTCCTCCTTAAGAGGGCTCTGACTGAATCCAACCATTCTAATTTGAAAGTGGCAAGCATTTTACTCTACCTGTTTTTTTTTCAAGTTGCGATGCAAATAAGGGTTGCATGTTGCCTGTTTTCATTTGAGTTGATACACTTAAAATCACTGGAATAATTTATGAAGGGTAGTATCAAACTCCTTCAATGTAAATAAGCAAACAAATTTATGAGTCAGCTTAATTCTACTTGGACAGGGATGTGCTTTTTTAAGGTTCACACCAAACGTTCTTGGGAAGGTTGTAGCAACTTTTAGAGACAAGGCATAAGGAGATCTTTAAATTATTGCAGTGGTATTAGCATGGAAACTTGTTGATGAATCTGAGGTTCTTTCAAATAGATACATTCATTTCTTTCTCTTTTTTCCTAAGAATTGTAAAAATATTTGCAAATAACAATGTTGCTAGCTCTGTTTACTAACACTTGTAAATTCTGTAACTGTTGTATAGGTAGTATACGGTGGTAAATATAGTCTTAATATCTGAGGATGTTATTTGGCAGAATAGCTGAGCAAAGTCTTTTATGATATTACGTACAAACGCAATATATTTCCTTCTACACATTTTCTACTTTGAATTAATCTCTTTCAAAAATGTTAAAATGACCAGTCACAGTACAGAAAAATTATCCCATGGTGATGCTGTTCTTGCTGCAGTCTGTCTCAGTTAAATCATGAATGTTACATCATGAATGCTCATCATCCATTCTTTGTTATATTGAGATTGCATTTTTGCTTTGTACATAGAACTTTATGGTTTAAATGTGAAACTGCCTTATCTCCGGAAAGTACACAAGTTCATTTTTTCTAGGAACACTAAAGCTATATAGTTCTTGTGCTAACCATGGTATATCAGCAATTATATGACATATTATATGAAATACAGTCATAATGACACGAGTCAGGACCTAGTGGTTGAAATGAATCCCTGTTAAACATCAGTTCATAAAGTTGCCAGATACCTAAAGGGAGAACTTACAATGGTATAATTCTATTACCCTGTAAATGGTACTGGAAATTACAATGTAAATGGAAATCTAAGTTTCAGTTTTGGTGTTGACTAGCACAGTTATTTCCATGAGATAATTATTTTTCATTCATCCCCATGGCCAAATCTTTGAAGACTTCTTTTACTCATGTATGTGGGTTTTTCACATACGCAGCTCCCCTGACCAACATAAATTCATCAGGCTTCAAAAACTGAATTGTAGAATACATATGGTCATTTCATTGAGTTCTCACTTTGGGATAAGCATGCCAGATTTCACTACATGAAAATGCATAAGTCTGTCCTTGAAAGAACTGTGGATATGTTAAAACTCTGTGACTCTATTGTTAGCATGTTTGGCATGCAGTAGATGACAGTGCAGAATTTGTTTGGCAGTGTGAGAGTATATGCACGGAAATCAGTCTTCCATTTTTGGCCTCCTTTGTAAATTATTTTCTTAATTCTCATTGTTAGCTTTGTATCTTTTAGCTTTCATCATCAGACTTATCTGTGAGTTTGTGTGATATTCGTATTGCAGAAATGATACCTGAACATGATAACGGGAAACTAATAGGGCTCTCTGATAGAAAGATAAGCCAGAGGCTGTCACTTGACTGAAATCTACAGAATTAGAGGTTTTATGGTGTCATTCTCTGTGGCGTAGCATCAAAAGGTTTCCGTCTTTTTTCCAGTGTGAGTCAGATACAAATGCTATGTAGAGCAGGCCAACCTTTTCAGATGACATCAAAATACTCAGTGATGTCATCTGAAATCTGCTTAGTATTCAAAGCAGATGGGAGCAAGTTTTCCAAACTGGATGGGAAAGAAGAATGCTTGATAAAATTCATTTATTTGTAAATCCTTCCAACCCCCTCACCCCACACATTGAATTTTTCATCCAGTTTAACTATGTGAAAGAGAGAATACGTGATCACGGTATGAAATGACAGTAACAACTGCATGTACTATTGCAATGAAAAAGACAAATGCATGATTAAGAGTTGCTTCAAAATGGATAAATACACAGGAACTGTTAGTCCAGTTTTATGTATATCAACAGATACATCTGTTTTTAGAATATTAGATGCAATTGACATTGCTCCTACAAGAATACAACAGAATGGGAGGAAAAATAAAAGGGGAAAATGAAATGAATCATCTGCCTAATAAGGTTGAAGGGCTTAATAGTGAGCATTTTGTTTTTAAGGCAGGGACGGGAAATGTGGCCAGATGTTTCTGGATTGCAAGGCCTATCAGCCATAGCTAAAGGAGAGTATGCTGAGGGAAGTTGCAGCCCAGAAACATCTGGAGGGCCACACTGTTTTCAGAATATGACAAATGTTTATAAAAATGAAGTAGCATGGTAAAAGTGAATGTGGCAGGACTGTTACATAACAGAAGCACTTGGGGTCATCCACAGGATTTGTGGACTGATACGAGATGGGAACAACCAGGTAGAGTTCTTCACTGCCATAGGAAGGTATGGTAGATATCAGCAGAAAGGCAATTACATAAATACGTAGCCGATACCAACCTTACTTAATCCAGTGGCAGGACCCTTGCCCCTGATTTATTTTTTCATTTCTGTGCTGTCAGCGATCTGGTGCCAGGGCTAGCTGTCGCTGTAGCACTGTGCTCTGTTGCTGTGGCACAGCATTAATGTGGCTGCCTCTGCCATAACTATCTTTGTCATCTGGACTATCTTTGTCATGCTGCAGAAAAGAGGGGGAGCCAGATGGGGATAGCACTGTGTTGCTGCATGTGTAATTTTAAGGTCAAGAGTGTTCCTTTTACTTTTTTCCAAAAGCAAAACTCAGAAAGCACTAGCACACGAGTGCATCACTAAGAAAAGAGCCAAGGCTGTCTTTAAGGGACTTAGTTCAGGCAATATGATAATCTACACTCAAGTATAGCATATGGGTTGAGGGTGGCTTCTCGTTGAACCATGGGTGGTTAGTCAAAAATGGGCTGTTGTGCTGTCTGAACCCAACAGTCCAATTCATTCTCTTCCTTTTGTTGGTGTTTCAACAACAGTTCATGGGTCAGTGATAGTATATATTCAACTCAAACTTCACCTTGAAGTTATCATGGGTTATGTTGTCAGAACCCCATCAGTGATTGAGAGAAGTACTAAATGTGTTTGGTTTGATTTTTTTTTTTAAATTTTGGTTTCTTAAAACAGATAAGATACAGAAAGAGAAGGAATATAAGAAGAAAAGTGAAATAAAATCACCAAGGGATTTTAAACCAGTATAACCAATACATTCATAACCTGCAAATTTTCAAAGAGACCAAAAATTTCTGTCTTTTTGTCAATCAATATTTTGTTGAAGTTCAAAAAAAGAATGACTATACCGACAAATTTTCCAGTCACTTCAAATCAATTATAAATCTTCAGCAATGTTTTAACAGGCTTCCTTTTACATCTTATTAACTATACTAGATATAATAGAATTTCCATTTCTCATTAAATTCTTCAGTGTTTGATTTGAAAATTTAGTTGTACTACTGCTATAAGCTTGTGCAGACCTCTGTCTCTGGCATCTAAGTTTGAAAAAGGATGTCAAGCAGTGGAGGTGATAAATGCAGTTGCCTGCAACCCTGGAGAGCTGCTTCTAATCGAGGATATAATACTGGGCTAGTGGGACTGAATTGATGCATGACACCTTCACATTCTCATATTTCAGTTGGTCTGTGATGAGAGACATGAATAGCTAGGTGGCTAACGGAAAATTTGCTGTTCTCTTGCTTGTTATTTGCAATGGGGAATACTACAGCACCTAACTAGGGAATAGTTTTATGTCAGGGTTGCTGGCTATTGTAATCAAATGTGTCAGATTCTGTTGGCTGAAATTTCATCATGCCCTTCACTTACATAATAAAAGGCAAGAAGCACCATCTAAAATTAAGAGGGAAAAAATAACTGAGTTATAAACCATAACTCAGCATTAGCCTGTAAATGAAGTTTCTTGGCAATGGTGCCTGGGAGTATGGCATTGGCACCAATGGAAACTCCCCTGGGGAGGGCATTCCATAGCATTTGTATTACTACAGAAAAGCCCTCCTCCCTGTGCCTTCATAGTGCAGTTTTCTTACCAAAGAAACTTGGAGAAAGGCCTCAATGGATGGCTTTAATTCATGGGCAGTTTGGTATGGGGAGAAGCAATCCTTAAGGTATTTCATCCCAAGCCTTTTAGGACTTTAGATTTATAACCACCTATAATCCTGTCTCTGGTTCTGTCTCCAGTTCTGTTCTCAACCCATTAATCTCTGCACTGGATTTGCTACTAGTTCTGTATTTCTTCCATGCTCCTAGCCCTTTTAATTGAAGGCAGCTTTGCAAAGATGTACTCCTCTCCCCCATTCATTTTACTGGCCTGTCTACTTTCATCATGGGGGTCGTTTTGGCTTCTGGAGCTCGGTTTGGTTTTTACCTCAAGTGAAGACATTAATTGCAATGGTGCTTTAAGGTTCTGTGCTCAGGACTTCATGAGCCAAAGGGTTTAAACAGCAATGAGTTGCCATGCACAAGTGAGAGAGAACAGATGCGCTATCAGTAGTATGCCTGCCTCTTCTGCTTTTACTCTACAACCCATAGTCAATTCTTTTGCAGGTTTTAGAGCATAACATCTGAAGCCAGACTGTTGAGTTATTTGTGCATGAAACTATGGGTTGCCATTACATGCAAACTTGGTCAATATTCCTATTCATCTCCAGAAACTGGTGCCTGTCCCTTTAACCTTCATTTCTATAAAAACTTGTCAGCTGCCAGCTTTATGTACTACCTCCTTTTTTCACCAAGCAGCACCCTCATTTGATTAATGAAAGATTTCTTCTCTTGGATAG